TCTCTCTCTCTCTCTCTCTCTCTCTCTCTCTCTCTCTCTCTCTCTCTCTCTCTCTCTCTCTCGCCTGATTCTTTAACTTAAAGAGAGCTGAGCGCGTAAAGAGAAAAAGGATGGAAACGGATTAGTCGATATCCAAAACTGGTGGTCGATGACCTCCACGTGTCCGTCGTCGGTGCATCCTGTGGATCCCCTCCGAATGTCTGTGCCAACTGTTGACGTCAACTTCTAGGCACCAAGCTCCAACCTCCGGTCGCCAGGTCGCCACGTCGCCACGTCAGCGAGCGGATTACTACCGGTAGCTGGCTCTCATCTGTGCCTTAAATATGTCCAATCAGTCGGCCCATCAACCAATCACCGTCTTCTATGAAAAAGAAGACACAACTAGGAGCTCTCCCAGAACCCTAATCCTCGGACACGAGTACACCCAAGGACTTTATCGACGGAATGTGGTCGGAAAATTGCTGACAGATACAATCAGCAAACACGAGCGAGTAGGCCCTACACTCTGCGCTTGCTCGCGCAGGAAGGCTCCTTCCTTCTCCTTCTCCTCTTCCTCTCTCCTCCTGACCTCCCCCTCCTCTACTTCGTCTCTCTTTCCTCACTACAAACAGTCTGCGCACGCCGCAAATCCCGGCTGCCGACCCCGGATCCCGATCCAGGCTCACAACATCCTCGGTCAAGCCGAAGACCACCCGCTGCGCGCCAATTGACTCCCTTTCCGCATCTGAAAAGCCGTCCGTCGATTAGCCGACGCGCTAACGGGTCTCGTTCCACTACTCTACGAAAAATCTAGAAAATCTAGAGTGCGGCACCGCTCCACTTACTCTAGAAATCTGCCGTGCAATTTTTCTTCTAGCGTTGTCTACAGGGTACTCTAGTGATAGCTATGCTTGCAAGGGTCCCCTGCATAGGCTTAGGGTCTCGCCACACCACTCTCGAAATGTGAAAAAGACAAAAATGCGGCCGGCGCATCTGGCCATGTCTAGCGGGAAGTTCAGTGTCATTTTGCATATTTCGATTCGAGAGTGGTGTGGCGATGCCCTTATGAGTACTGGTAGGTAGATCGTGGCCCACCACTCTCGAGATGCACAAACGACAAAAATCATGGCGGCGTATCTTTCTTTTTTTTTTCTTTTTTTTCTTTTTTCCTTTCTGAAATCGGTGTATATCCATGTTCTACTCTCGTGCTGCACATCTCGAGAGTAGTGGAGCCAGGCCCAGGCCTAGCTCAGTTGGTAGGGCACAGAAGTTGCATTCAGGAGGTCATGGGTTCTATACCCACAAGCCTCACGTATGTGATGGGCAAGCTTGGTGTTCTACCAGCTAGAGATAACCCGCTGGCCCCTCAAGTCAGCATTGGCAGGACCTTGGCTGATGTCGTTGGTTGCTATGCAGCGATACTATTGGCCATTCTACGCAGCCAGGTGGGGTTGGGGGGGGGGTAGGGAGAGGTGCAGTGACTGGCCATTGCTCTAGCTTCGCCTATTTTCCCCATCGGCAATGCCTGCCCACCCCTCATCACCGTGATGGACTGGTACAGCCTTACTCTTGCACCACTGCTGTGGTGCCAACCTAACCCATGGGCTAGGGAGAGATCCGGGTTGGTTGGTGTTCCCCCGTACTATACATAGCCTAGCGAGAGGATGAGATAGACGAGTACTGGCTTCCCCCGTACTATACATAGACTAGCGAGAGGATGAGATAGATGAGTACTGGCAAGAAGATGAGAAAGATGAAAGAAGAATATAGATTACTTCAGGGTCACTAGACCGTACATACGAAGGTCCTCAGCCCGACCTCCGTACGTACGGGCATTCGGGGTCCCGTTCGGGGTCCGAACACGACAGCGTTCGGCCCCCGCCAAAAATTATTTCGGGGCCTAAACATTGGGATTTTCTGTGAATTCTCTATGATGTGAGCTACATGCCTATACATTTTGAAGTCATTTTTCCCAGCCAAACAAAAATTACAAATCGCCAAAGATGGCGGTGTCAAAACGTGCCCGCCCATGTACTTTTGTTTTTCTCTCACTTTATTGCGGGGCCTAAACAATTTTATTAGTTTTTGAAACTTTTTTAGTGGGTTTTGTGTTATGTGAAGTACACATCTGTAAATTTTCAGGGCATTTGGCTATGCCAAACAAAAATGAAAAATCGCCAAAGATAGAGGTGTCGAAAACGTGCTCGCTCACTCAATAATTTTAGTTTTTTTTTTTTTTTTTTCTTATTTTTATTATTAGTTTTATTTTTTATTTTTTATTTTTATTTCAAATTTGGTAAGTAATTTGGATGTAATGCTCAGACAAATGTTGTTTATTTTATTTTTTTTCATACCATATATTTTTTTCAGATGTTTTTTATTTTTTTTATTTTTTTTTCGCGTCCGCGTTCGGCCCGAACGATCGAACGTATCCCCAAGGGGTCCCATACGTTCAAGTGTTCGGGTTCGGCCGTTCGGCCCACCCGAACGCCGGTTACCCGGGATTACTTATAAATTGAAAAAAAAGGTAACTTCTGTAGAGTCACAAAAACGAGTTATAATTGCAGTATGGGGCAAGATACAGTTTGCAATTGCACTTCGGGCACCCTACCTAGCCAGAAAGTTGGGTTGTATACATTGCATGAACTGCAATTCCAAACTGTATCTTGGCCCATAGTGCAATTAACTCATTTTCGTGACTCCCGCGTAGTTTCCCCAAAAAAGAAAAAGAAAAAAAAAAAGAAATTGAGAGAAAAATGTAGCTTTTAGTATTGAGTCAAGTGTCGCTCCACTAACTCTGGGAAAGAGCTCTAGAAACTCGTTTTTTAGAGTTGTTAGCCTCTAAACATCAGGGTCGAGTCCACTTTCTTGTGAGCGCGCTGATTTTTGAGAGGTGGTTTCCCTTTTTCCGGGCCCCTGGCCATCGCTCCTGTCGTCATCGTCCCCCTTTGCACTCCAAAAAGTTAGTATGTTACGAGGTGGATCGTAATCGAAATTCTGTCACTCCCATCTAGCTTCCTCTCTGGCCTTTGCTTCTAATCCCATCCGTCGTCTTTCCTGTTCTGTTCTGTTGTTCCCCTCTGGCTCTGCCGTTTTCTATCCTCGGGGGTCAACAAATTCGTGGCGAGGATCCCCCCTGTTGTCGTTGTCCTTGTCATCCACCCCTTCTACCCAATTAACCCTAAGCCCTGTGGCCCGGTAAGGAGAAACGAACTGTACACCCTGCACGCCAACAATTGGGTGTTTCATGACGATGCCACATTCAAATCAACCAACGATAAGATCGCATGGCTCCGGAAACGTCTGGCCTCCCTGAGAGGGAACGCGGAGGAAGCACAGAACCTGTTTCTGCTCCAACTACTATCCACGACGACCATCACGGTCGTCTGTCGACACGAAGCGGACAAACGACAAATGGACGGGTGGCGCTCAATACGCTGCGACAGGTCTAAGATGCGAATTTATACGTGGTCTCCTTTCAGGCAGTAGAAACCAGAAGAAAAAAGGCAACAGATGATGATGGATCACTTTTGGGTAGAATTTCGCCATGTCCCGGTTGAAATCCAAGCCGCCTTGATCCACGATTTTGGGGAGAAATACGATATAATAGATTTTATTGACCCTCTCCCCCCCCACGTGGCGAGACGTGATGACTACCTGATGTTGTCAATTGACCTGCCCGAAAAACAACCGTTCCTGATCGACGATATAATTCCCTTCTATGTGGGAAACAAGGAATTCAAAGTGCACACGGCCCATAAACTCCGACCTTGGTGCTTCAAATGCCATGCGTACGAACACCCTGTCCTCACCACCCGATCAATCAGAGTAGAGCAACAGGCTGATTGTCCCAGGATCCCTTCCGCAGTACACATTGGCTTACCGTGGACCCGAGGCATGAGGGGTGGGTTTTTGTCGACAAAAAAAAACGAGAAGGGTAGGACGACAGGCTGGACCTGGGACAAACAGGGTGACCCAGATACCCGAACGAAACCCCTGGCATCATGGGCTCCCCCCAAAACGGTTGAAACCCATCTGCAAAGGGGACGATGACGAGAGGAGCGATGGCCAGGGGCCCGAAAAAGGGAAACGACCTCTCAAAAATCAGCGCGCTCACAAGAAAGTAGACTGGACCCTGATGTTTAGAGGGGACATGAGATACTACACCAATGAACGTCTGGCCTGGAGAGGAAAACCGGTGCAAGGGAACGAGGCGAAGGACAGACGAGACCTCCCTGCATCGCAGCTGCTGAGAGAAACCAAGGAGGCCATCGGCGCGCTCCCGTCACCGCCTACCCCACCTTCTTGGGCAGAGCCATTACGTCGCCCACACGCTGGCCAAACCATCGCAGTGACGAGACGATCGGTCGGTAATGAGGACCGCGAGTGGAAAATTCCGCTTGGCAATCTGTCGTCCACTAGTGCCTTCTGATTGATCGGGTGGTGAGGACAGGCGGCACCTGTGTACAGGTGTCCGTACGCATGGCATTTGAAGCACCAAGGCCGGAGTTTATGGGCCGTGTGCACTTTGAATTCCTTGTTTCCCACATAGAAGGGAATTATATCGTCGATCAGGAAGGGTTGTTTTTCGGGCAGGTCAATTGCCAACATCAGGTAGTCATCACGTTTCGCCACGTGGGGGGGGAGAGGGTCAATAAAATCTATTATATCGTATTTCTCCCCAAAATCGTGGATCAAAGCGGCTTGGATTTCAACCGGGACATGGCGAAATTCTACCCAAAAGTGATCCGTCATCATCTGTTGCCTTTTTTCTTCTGGTTTCTGCTGCCTGGGAGGAGACCACGGATAAATTTGCACCTCGGACCTGTCGCACCGTATTGAGCGCCACCCGTCCATTTATCGTTTATCCGCTTCGTGTCGACAGACGACCGTGATGGTCGTCGTGGATAGTGGTTGGAGTAAAAACAGGTCCTGTGCTTCCTCCGCGTTCCCTCTCAGGGGGGCCAGACGTTTCCGAAGCCATGCGATCTCATCGTTGGTTGATTTGAACGCGGCGTCGTCATGAAACACCCAATTGTTGGCGTGTCGGGTGTACAGTTCGTTTCTGTTCTGTACTTTGCCCGTCGGGAGTGCTTTCATCATCAGTGCTCTCCCTCCTTGATTTACCACCCTTGGTTCTGATGGGGTCAGCAGTTTGGATAAAAAAAGGCACTAGCGGACGACAGATTGCCAAGCGGAATTTTCCACTCGCGTTCCTCATTACCGACCGATCGTCTCGTCACTCCGATGGTTTGGCCAGCGTGTGGCCGATGTAATCGCTCTGCCCAAGAAGGGGGGGGAGGCGGTGCCAGAGCGCGCCGATGGCCTCCTTGGTTTCTCTCAGCAACTGCGCTGCAGGGAGGTCTCGTCTGTCCTTCGCCTCGTTCCCTTGCACCGGTTTTCCTCTCCAGGCCAGGCGTTCATTGGTGTAGTATCTCATGGCCCCTCTAAAGATCAGGGTCGAGTCTACTTTCTTATGAGCGCGCTGATTTTTGAGAGGTCGTTTCCCCCTTTTCGGGCCCCTGGCCATCGCTCCTCTCGTCATCATCCCTCTTTGCACTCCAGAAAGTTAGTATGTTACGAGGTGGGTCGTAATCGGAATTCTGTCACTCCCCTGTAGCTTCCTCTCTGGCCTTTGCTCCTAATCTCATCCGCCGTCTTTCCTGTTCTGTTTTGTCGTTCACCTCTGGCTCTGTCGTTTTCTATCCCCGAGGGTCAACAAATTTGTGGCGAGGATCCCCCCTGCTGTTGTTGTCCT